TGGGCTCAAGCGAGTCTCCTGCCTCCACCTCCCAAGTAGCTGGGACCACAGGTGCCCGCCACAACGCCTAGCTATTTTTTGGTTACAGCCGTCGTTGTTTTGGCGGGTCCGGGTTTGGGGATTCGAACCCGCCACCTTAGGTGTACGTGGCTGGCGCCTTAGCCGGTTGAGCGAGCCTCCGCAGAGCTTTCTATACTCCAGTTTGTAGGCCAGGGGGTGAAAGGGGCAGCACTCACAGCAGCTGCAGCTGGTCTTGCCTTCGGATAAGAGCATTCTTTTTGTTGACCAGGGTGAACCACTCTTGGATCAGCACCTCCTCCTGCAGTTTGTTGGCACCTGAATTGGGCAGGGAGAGTAACCTAATGACCCCAGTGTCAGAGCAAGGCAGCTGAGGTTGAGGGAGGAGGCTTACTGCCTGGTGGCATTCCAGAAGCCAGAACTGTGTGCCTCTAGCAAGCTGTTTCAGGTCCTCAGCATGCCCAGCTGTAACATGGAAATGCTGACCCCAGGTGTGCCTCCTCCCAGCTCCTCCCAAGGTCAAGAAGAGCTGCAGGGCTGGGCAGACCTAGGAGTACGTGTTGAGGAGTGGGCCCCCGATGCCTGTCCTACCTGACTCCATGAGGTTCCTTAGCTGCGTCTCCACCAAGGCTGCCCGCCCATCTATCTGGCTCTGCTCCTGTTCCAGAGCCTGCAGCTCTGCACATACATACTGACTTGTGTCCTGGAACCGTTGCTGGGGGCAAAAAGGGGGGCAGGGGCTGGGGTCAGGGCCTAGCCACAGCCCAGGGCCAGCCAGAGCCTCACAAACCCGCAAGCAGGGGTCCTCCAGCCTAGGGCCTCAGCCTAGGCCCTATCTATGAAGTGTTCACCCACCAGCTGCTCCCCACCTAGCTTTCCTTACCAGCCCAGCCTCCTCCCCTGGGCTTGGGGGTGGCTCCTCCGAAGGGGAACGCCCACCTGCAAACAGAGACTAGTTAACATACTCTGAGCTGACACCTGTCCCCAGGAAGTCCCCTGTCCCAGGATTTGTGAGCAGCCTGAGTTGAGCTGGTCACCACCCCCATTACTACTCACCAGGGGTCTGTTGAGAGGCTGTAGCTGTGGGTGGGCCAGGAGAGGGGCTGGGGTCAGGGCCTAGGCCTTCCTGAGGAACAAAGGGCCAGTGAGAGTCAGGAGGGGCTCCCTAGTAGCCACAGCCTGGGGCCAGCCAGAGCCTCACAAACAGGCAGGCAGGGGTCCTCCACCCTGTACCCTGCCACACCACCTGCTTCTCAGTCCTGCATGCACAGAACCCAGACACACACACACACACACACCCCTCCATTCAGGGAAAATGCCTCCTTGAGCACAGGCCACATCCCCCTCCCAGGCCCCTAGGGCCTGCCTGGCCTGCCCATTTCCACTCTTTGAGCCTCCCAGTCCTTCCTGGAACTGGCTAATAACTCTAACTTCATAGGGTGAGTTGGTGGTGAGTCTTTGAAGGGCGTAGCTGGTGCCTCTCTTTGTCCCTCTCACCCTCTTCTATTTGGAGCTCCATCAGGCCACTCGGACTCCCGTCACTTAGTGTTGGCATCTACATCAGGGCCAAGGCCCCACTCCAGACATAGATCATCCTGTGTCAGCACCTCCACTTCCAGGCCAGAAGGGAGTACCCTCCTGCCTTATCAGTTCCCACACCCAGATACTTCTGGACTCTTCACTTAACACTCAGAACAAGACCAGTTGACTAGACCTCCAAATTTTACCTTGGAAGGGCAGGGGTGGCTCCCCTTGCAGGAATTGTCAGCCCTGGGGCCTCACAACTTTTAGCTTCACCTGGCTCCCTTGACTGCTTCTGCTCTGGCCACCCATCTGGGTCACAGGATGGGCAGAAGGGAGTGAGCCACCCTACTGTCCCCTGACTTGCAATTCTCTGTGAGGCAGCCCTGGACATCCCTGGCTCAAGTGATATCCTCTCTGGCCTGGCTCAATGGCAGCTTCTTCACCAACTACCATCCACCTGCCTGGGGACTCTCCTCTCAAGCCACAACCAAGAGGCCTTCCTGACACTCCCACAGGTGTTATGACTTTCTTTACACCCCTTCTCAGCCCCAGCCTCACTGCCAAGGCCTGCTGGCAGCTCCAGCTTCAGCTCTTCCACTGCCCTAACCTCCTCCCCTAGACACCACCCTCTGGCCACAGTGACGGACTTTCAGTTCCTGAAACAGCTTCCTCAGTTTGGTGTAGGGGCCTCTACCTTGGCCTACCCAAAATACCCACTCAACCTTCAAGACCCAGCTCCACCCCACCTTCTCTAGAAGCCCCTAGGGCTCCTACACTCTGCCTCCCTCTGTGACTTTCATGACTCCTAAAGCCTCACCTGGTCGCCAGGCTGGGCAGATGCTGCCCCATCACCTCCCCAATCATAGCTCCAAACCCCACCCCACCCCACCCCACCCCACTCCACCCCACCCCACCCCACTCCATCACAGCTGTTGGTCATGAGTGTTTCCCTGACCCAAGGTAGCCCCTTCAGATAGAGCTGGGCCCGGAAAATGCACTCAGGGCATACAGATTAATAATAATAGCTAATGGCCGGCACAGTGGCTCACACCTGTAATCCTAGCGCTCTGGGAGGCCAAGGCAGAAAGATTGCCTGAGTTCATGAGTTCAAGACCAGCCTGAGCTAGAGTGAGACCTCATCTCTAAAAATAGCAGGGCATTGTGGCAGGTGCCTAGAGCTACTTGGGAGGCTGAGGCAAGAGAATCACTTGAGCCCAAGAGTTTGAGGTTGTTGTGAGCTATGATGCCATAGCACTCTACTGAGGGTGACAAAGTGAGACTCTGTCTCAATAATAACAGCTAATATCTACTAAGTGTGTGTCAGATACTGGAAAGCACTTTATTCAATTTTTTTTTAAAGCAGTTTTTGGCCAGGGTGGGGTTTGAACCCGCCACCTCTGGCATATGGGGCCGGCACCCTACTCCTTTTGAGCCACAGGCGCTGCCCTAAATTTTTTTTTTTTTTTTTGAGGCAGAGTCTCACTATGTTGCCCTCAGTAGAGTGCCATGGTGTCAGTCCACAACTGACACTTGGGCTTAAGTGATTCTCTTGCCTCAGGCACCCACCACAACACCCAGCTAGTTTGTTGTTGTTTAGCTGGCCCAGGCTGGGTTCGAACCTGCCAGTCCAGGTGTATGTGGCTGGCACCATAACCACTGTGCTACAGGCGCCAAGCTGAAAGCACTTTATTTTATATTTTCTTTTTTTTTTTTTTTGAGACAGTTTCACTTTGACACCCTTGGTAGAGTATCATGGTGTCATAGCACATACCAACTTCAAATTCTTTTTTTTTCTTGCAGTTTTTGGCCAGGGCTGGGTTTGAACCTGCCACCTCCGGCATATGGGGCCAGTGCCCTACTCCTTTGAGCCACAGGCAGTGCCCCCAACCTCAAACTCTTGAGTTCAAGTGATTCTCTTTTTTTTTTCCTTGAGACAGAGTCTCACTATGTCACCCTCAGTACAGTGCTGTGGTGTCACAGCTCACAGCAACCTCAAACTCTTGGGCCTAAGCAATTCTCTTGCCTCAGACTCCCAAGTAGCTGGGACTACAGGTGCTTGCCACAATGCCTGGCTATTTTTGTTGTCGTTGCAGTTGTCATTGTTGTTT